GATGGGGTGAGAGAAGATGGCGGCAGAGTCGCTTGTGGGGGTTGAGGGACAGAAAATGGCGAGGTGGAGCTGGAAGAAACAGGAGGAAGAGGCAGGAGGGAGAACAGGCTGGCTAGGTGAAGCGGAAGATGGCGGCGGAGTTAACTGAGGGGGTTGGGGAGCAGAGGGAGTTACAGGAGGAGGAGACCTGTACGGAGGGGGTTCGTCCGCGGGGTCAAAATTATCAGAAGTAGGGGGTAGTGGAGGCGGTGAGGATGGAGGGGGTTTGGAAGCAAGGAGAACCTGGGAAGGAGAACAGGTGAGACAGTAAGAGGGATTTTGAGCAAGTAGGCGGAAAGCCTCAACATATGGAATCTCTTTCCATTTTTTCAGGCGCTGGCAATAATTAAAGAGATCCCGGAGAATGTCAGGATCTAGTGTGCCCTCAGGGGCCACTTGTTTTGGTTATCTAGGGGATAATAAGGCCAATCTGTGTACAAAATTTGGTGAGGAGTTTAGGTTTAATGTCAGGCTTGAGGGATAAAGTGGTGAGGTTGTTTAAGAGACATTGTAAGGGGGAATCACCCTGAAGTGAGGAGGCAGAAGCTCCCATTCTGAAAAAAGGGTTTAGAGGAGAGAAGTCAGAGGAGGATTAAAGATGAGTCCTTCGGCCGGATGAGAAAGACGGGACTCAGAGGGCGTCCCCAATGAGTCGCGTCGATCTCAGGAGAGGTTCAATTATGAACCCAGAGAGAAGGGGGTATAGGTCGCCACCTAGACCCTCACTTCCCTTAGGCGAATTTGCCCGAAGCCGGAAGGAACCTAGCGCGCTAGGGTTTTGACGGACGGCGGAGGTCCAGGACCCGGTAGGAGGAAGGTTAAAAGGAGTGGGAGAGAGAGAGAGGAATGGGGCTTAGCCTCCGGGGCCGGGGGAATGTGATTAGGGTGAAGGTTTAAATAATCTACAAGCCTGACAAAAGGTAAAAGGGGGCTTACCTATCGGATGAGCCAGTGGTGGGTGAAGGAAGTCAGCGCCGGAGAAAATAGATGAGGGCGGACCGTCAGTCCCGGGGGGGTTGCGGAGGATTCTGAGGAAGGAGTCCTCTGGCGCGGGGTGCACTCCTTCCCGGGTTTTGGCACCAATGAAAGGACGCATGGATGAAGGAGGCACGCGAGACCCGGGCTGACAGTTCACCAGAGAAGTTCCACTTTATTCAAGGACCGCGCATATATTTATAGGGAGCTGCGTTCTGGGTTTGGATAGGGGGTGGACGGGGCGGTAGCTGATTGGATGGGGTTGGGCAGGAGGTGGGCCTTGACCTGTGACTGGTTGAGATTTGGCGCCGGCAGGCTTGTTTACTGCGGAGAAGAACCTGGAAGGGCGCCATATTGCCAGGGAGTGCCTTCCCCCTCCCCCTCCGCTTGAGTGCCCACGGTATCCCTACAATTCTTATAATTTAGATACTGTAATTACCCCATTGTATAGGTGAGGAAACAGGCACAATGAATCCAGAGCTCATGCTCATAACTGCTGTGCTGAACGTCCTTTCAGTGGTTTTTGGTATAGTGTACTCTACTTTTCAGAGAGTGAAACTTGCAACTTTGTGAATAATCATTCAGTTCATAAATTCATTGAATGTTTATTAATTCCAGTACGTGGAAAGAAAAAGCTAAAAAAATGTTGTGTTGATTTAATAGGGTGGTATGATGTGTAAAACAGACCAATTATCATAGCAATCAAGGAAGGCATCACAGAGAAAGTGACATTTGAGTTGGTTCTTAAAAACTAGGTAGATATTTTTGAGGTAGAAAACATGGGGTAAGGATTTGATGCAGGCAGAATAATAAATGCAGAGGTCTGAAAAAAGTCACATAATGTTGAAAAGTTCTTTTAACTTAATTGATTTACATAAGTTTAAATTCTGGGTTTCAGCAAGTTCACACTAGTGATTATAATCTGAAAATAACAATGTCAATGGAAAATACTACTTACCAGCAAGTCACCAGAATTTGGTTTTTTTTTTTTGTTTGTTTTGTTTTGTTTCTTTGGTGGCCGGCCAGTACGGAACTTGTTTTTTAAACCCATCTTTGAGGATTATTTATTTGGTGGTATCACAATTCAGTTCAACGGATAAATTCATCCTACTGTCTACTTTTTTTTTTTCCTTCTTTAAATATTTGTTTTTAATATTACTTTTTTTTTTTTCCTTTTTGTCTTTTTTCGTGTCCGGCAACGGATCGCAACCCTCA